TTTTATGTTCGATCATTAAAACATTTTGTGTATGGTCCAAAATTGGATAAGGGTCCAATGTCATTCTTTGCATGTGAATATCCAGTTTTCCCAGCACCAGTTATTGAAGAGACTATTCTTTCCTCATTATATATTTGTTCTATCTTTGTCAAAGATCACTTGACTATTTATGATAAAATTCTTAATAAAGTTAATAATGTTTCAGTAAAGTTTAATGATTTTCTCTGTAAAGGTACTGTTCACCCTCCATTAGAGTGATAACTAGTTACTGAAAATCCCTGACATTACTGTATATGGTATCTTCTCTTTAATTTAGCCTTCTAGATTTACAACTAGTATAAAAATGTTACTTTGTCAAATATTCCAATTATTCCTGATAATGTCTGTAGGTTCTTTAGAGTTTTTACTGCAAATAATTCATTATCTGAAAATAATAATAGATTTATTCCTTTTATTTCAATTCTTATCATTTCCAATTTCTTTTCTTGTCATATTACAAGTTTGAAAAACAATTTAAGACAATGGACTTTTTAACACAGGAATATACTATGGTTACTAAAGTACTAAAAGATTTTATAAGTGCTCTATATCTAAATTCTTCTTACATCTAGCCTGCCTTTATATCTGTGCCACGCTTGATTTGGCATGTTTTACCATCTTCACAATTCCTTTTTATTGCTACAGAGACAGTCAGCTCAGACATTATATGTTAGCTATTAAAGCAATTAAAAGAACCATGTGCTAACATGAGTGGAAAGACATATACATACTTCAGATCTCTACCAGCACTGATCTTGTCCCCCATCTAACATGGTAAGAGGTAAGAATCATCTCCATTAGGCTCTTGAGGAAGTATATCAAGGAATGCTCCATATAAAAATTATTGCTTCAAAGAAAAAAAAAGCTTTAGTCCCAAACTTGATGTGGAATAATCTCTGGCTTTGGTAAGACAGACTAGGCTATGGATGACTCAGGAGAGCTCCTTTCAGGTCCTTGCTATGGGGCAGGTATCATGGCTTGATTGACTACCAGACCTCTGTGATTAAAAGTTAGAATGTCAACTAGGTTATAGGCAACACGGCTTGTGATAAAAACGACTCCTAATTAGTTAACTGCATGTGGACTGGGAGAATTATAAATACATCTAAAAAGATTCCTGATTAAGAGAAATGCCTGAGGCTGCCTTGCTGGCAAGCCTGAGTTCCTGTTCTCTAGCTCTCTGAGTAGACTGGCACCAAGGATGGCCTTTGATAGTTTTGTAAGTCGGAAGGCTTAGTTGAACCTAAAAAAGTCCCTTTGTCAGTGTATTTGTTTTCTATTGCTGTGGAACAAATAACCACAAACCTAGCAGTTTAAAATAACACCCATGTATTATCTTATAGTTCTGTAGGTCAGAAGTCAGGGTTCAGCATGACTGGGTTCTCTGCTGAGAGTCTCATGAAGATGAAATCAAGGTATTGCCAGATATCAACCAGGGGCTGTTCTCAGCTCCTAGAAACTGCCCGCAGATCCCTGCCATGTGGCTCTTTCCACACCACAGCAGTTTTCTCCTTCAAGTCCAGTAGAAGATTTTATCTCACACTTTGGATTTCTCTAACTTCAGGAAGGGCCCATCCCTTTTAAAGATCTCACCTGATCTGGTCAGGCCCATATGGATAATCTCTATTTGATAAACTGAGAGAGATTAGTAACCTACTCATGAAAGCTATATCCCATCATATTCACAGGTTCTGCCCACACTCAAGAGGAGAGAGTTATACAAGGCGTGTACACAAGGGTGTGGGACTCCTAGAGGCCATCTTAGAATTCTGCCCACAATAGTGGGCATTACAACCTCATTTCCTGGGCTCTTCCCAGTCCTGATCCAGAATGTTTATCAGTCCAATGGTGAGAAGAGATGAGGGAGAATTCACCGGAAAGCTTACCAGGGACTGTTTCTGCACTTGCCCAGCACAATCCCTTTGTTGACACTGCAGCCAGAGGGATCTTTTAAAAATCAAGATTCAATTAATCTGTTTGTTTTACCTAGAGATACTCTGAAGAGATTAAAAAGCCAAATAGAAGGGAGAATCTTAAAAGAGCATCTGCCACATAGATAAAATAACTGTAGCTTTTAAACTCTGAAAGCTCCATTCTGGCACTATAGATCAATAATGCTCTTGATCTTAACCACGTAAGGCCTGGTCCTTTGTGGAGAGTTGAGGGAGTAAAGGAGTCTTGCTCTTCTACCAATGCTCTTGTCCACCATTTGGGGATGAGATCTGTAGCTTTTTAGAAAAGTGCTGCCTGCATCTTTATGGAAAAACCCGATCCTCATCTGGATGAGGCCATAAGTGGATGGCTATATCTCCAATGGATTTAACTAGATGAGCTCATCAGTCTTCTAAAGACTTCTGTGATTTTCTTTTTGATGTTATCTAGAAACAACATATATTGGTCAAGACATTGTTTTAGTTGTGTAAACTATACAAAAGGCAAAGACGTCAAAATACGTTTAGCAATGTTGTCTACCAACTGACCAGACAGGGATCTACACTATGTGTGTGTAGGTGTGCATGTGTATACATATACATATATACGTATACGAACATATTATATATATAGAAATTTTTCCATCCATCTAACCACATAGTTCTTTTGATTGCTTTAATAGCCAATGTATATATGACTGAGCTGACAGTCTGTAGCAACATGGCTGCCTCTGTAGCAATAAGAAAGAAATACGAAGATGGTAAAAAATACTAAATCAAACATGGCACAGACATAAAGACAAGCTAAGTGTAAGAATAATTTGAAAATAGAACAATTATGAAACCTTTTTAGTACTTTAGCAACCATAGTATATTCCTGTGCTAAAAGATCTGTTGACCTAAATTAACAGTTTTTCAAACTTGTTCCTTTGAGCCGTAGATGTCTTAAGGGCTCTCTCTCCATGGTGATGGCTAAGTTAAGGAGCTCATCCCAGGGCCTCCCACTACAGTTATACCCAGAGCAGTTCCACTGAGTTGGTTATTCTTTAGGAAGCTATATAAAGGTAACTGGAAGCAAAAGGGAAAATTTCATTCCCAAAAAGCACTTGAAAGTCACAGATATGAATAAACTCCGAAGTCCTCTCTCTGGTAGAAAATTTAGAATTATGACTGACTTCTACAAAGCTAATAGTTAACAATCACGGCTACATAAAACTTATAGCCTGCCTTAGAGACCAAAAGGATACCTCCCCAATGCCTCCAACGAAAACCCACTATGGCCCACAAAGTTTTCGACAATTCATCAGAATGCTGCATTAACTCTAGAGATATCAGTAAAGCATCAAGTGATTTTTTAAATTTTAAAAATTATATGAAGTGTAAAGTCAAAAAACAAAGTTGTTTATGTGACTGTGCCACTCAGGCTCACCTCAGAGCCCACCTATCCCCGCGACGGCGACTGGTCTCTGGAACAGCACTGCAGCACTCACACTGTTATGTGCTTACATAGCACGGACGGGCAGTCCACACTGTTTATATCATTCTGACATCATTTTGTGAGTCTATATGGTATAAATTAAATGAACAGAACCCACACAGGCATTTCAAGATGTTTAACTTCCAAAGAAAGAAAGCATAGTACGCAAGCATTTTTAAATAACCAATGAAAAAAATAAAATCTCAGGTCATATCCACAGTATTGGCCAGTAGAGGCACATAACACAGAAAAAGGCCCTCTCTCACCTTGCCCCTGATATGTTGATCCTCTAAACACAAGACTAGAGAAAGAAAGAGAGGTGATGGAGGGTTAGACTGCCAGTTTTGCCACCCGGAGATATGGGTGCATGAAACAGAAATTAAGTTATTAGAATGCAAAATTCCTATTATTTCTGCAAGTCTGTGTTTGGGAAATGATGGTCATACCTACTCAAAAGCTTGTTGAATGAATAATATAGAACTTAAGGCAAATAATAAGCTGGCTAACTTTTTGAACATCAGTGATATTTATAGAATATTAAAAGTACTGATTGAGGTGTATCTTAAAATCCAATACTACATATTTTCAAATAATAGGATGCATTCAAAAGCCATTCTGAAAAAAATGTTACTCATTTTGAAATGAGATATTTATATAATATTTTATTAAATACTGTCTTGTTTACATGCTCTCGAGCAACACTATCCAACAGAGCTTTCTGCGATGATGTAAATGTTCTGTATCTGTGCTGTCCAACAGGGGCGCCACTAGCCAGAGGTGGGTATTGAGCACTTGAAATGTAGCAAGTGCCACTAGGAAATGTAATTTTTAACTTCATTTAATTTAAACTAATGTAAATTCAAATGAACTGATGTGGCCAGTGGCCACCTCACTGGGAGTACAGCGCTGAGAAATAAATGCCTTCTCATTTGCTTCACAAAGGGCTTTCATCTTTCTTTCACAGCCCTGCTCAAGGTCATCTCAGAGCCCCACAGGCAGAGGTATTTGCTCCTTGCATTGTGCTTCCACAGAACTTTCTTCATTTCTTTATTTTAGAATTATCCACTGAACAGAAATTATACAAGTGTTAACTTCTCCCAGTATATGTAATCTACATAAAGATAGGACAATGTTTTATTCATTTTTGTCGTCTCCGCATCCAGCATAAGGCCTGATACATGGTAGGTTCTCATTACATTTTTATGAAATGAATGAACAGAAAGAAGCTATAAGCAGCTGATTAAACAGGGAAGTTCTAAATGAAAACTTAACATTTGTGGAAAACTATCCTTGTGCCTGCCATTTATTTTCTTATTCACAGTGATAAAAGCCATTTCTTGCCTTATCAAAATCCTAGTTAAGTAGTATAGATAGAGTTTCTGCTAAAGTAATTTCAGGGGTGTCTGATCAAATAAGCCATATGGCATCCTTGCAATTTACAGCTGCAACTTGCTGGCTCACTCTCAAACCAAGATGTCGGTTATGAAGCAGCAGAACAAATAGCTTCATTGTGCTGCATATCTGGAAAAAAACACAAAATGCAGTACACTTACCATCACCAACATCAAAGTCCTTGAAAGCAAGTTCTGAACCCGAATCATCAAGAAGGATTTCGCCATTCAGTGTGAACATCATGGTATGTTCTGTCATGTCAACCATACACCCCACAACATCGCCTGCTTGCCAAGAGCGCCCATAGTGCTCATTGCCCTGGTGCCACCGTTGAGCCTAGGAACAGAAGAGTCATTTGTTTCAAAGAAAGCCAAGCATCCACCCACCACTACTGGCATGCCTCACAGCAGCCCCTTCCATTAACGCAGCAGGAGGAACTCTGGCCAACACATCAGTCTACTGCAATGCCCTGAGCCATATGGAGGCATCTGGGAATTCTCAATCCCTAATATTAATATTGTATGTTATTGAATCTTGAGAAGAACCCAAATGCTATTTAATGATTTTGAGTCTGTTATTTTAAAAAGCTAACCCTACATACTTTCTATTAAAAGAAAAACGATATGTTTTTAGAAATTTATTTTTCTCACTATAACGAACGCTTCCCAAGACATGGGTTGTTTTTCTCTACTCCCCCAGATATAAAGAATTTGGAGCAGACAATCAAGCTGGGAATTTATCATTGAAAATGACATTCTAATTTTCATTTATTTCAAAATATAATTCCATTCCTTGGAACCAATGGCACTGAGACTTTAACAAAACAGAAATCTAGAAACATTTCACTATATCCTAAAACCTAAAAAGCTTCAAATCAAACTTAAAAATATACTTAAGATATTTGCTGAAATAATAAGCCAAAAACTAAATATAGATGTCAACACTATTTTATATACAAAGATGAAATCTCATATTATAAATATATTTCAAACATAGTTTTGATAAATGTGATTTTGAATCTATAAGTATATTCTACTTATTTATAGGTACAAAATTAGTTACATTAATTACTTTGTCATATCAATCTTTTAACTTTTCCTTCATTGTGAGCCAATATGTAACTGAACATAGTCACCAATGCAAAACAATGATATGATTCTTCTCAAGCATACCATGTAGTACTTTTTAAAAAAATTCTTTAACTACATCAGGTGTCAGAAGGTGTTAAATTGTTTCTTCTGAAATAAAACAACAGGATTCAGGAAACAGGATGTTTCAGAACAAAGTATATCAGTTGTCCTAGAAGACACAATACTAATTTCTAGCCTAGAAATGCTTTCCCATACATGCACACCTGAGTACCCCAAAGTCAGATCTTTTCATGATTGCTTATTTATTCTAATTTTCTTTTTTTTAATTAAAAATAACTTTTTCCATCATATGAAAAGGAATACAAATTCACTGAAGAAAATCAGAGAATAAAAATAAGATAGAATAAAATATCTATAATTTTATCAAACAAAAATGACTATTATTCTATTGCGGCTATGTTCACATATACATTTTTAAATTTTTAATTTTAAAATACTTTATACAGATAATCTTTAAACATTTATCTAATGTATAAATAAATAATAAAATAAGCATCTAACCAGCTTCCACCCAGCTTAAGAAATAAAAATTACTAATAATGTTGAAAAAAAAACTTTTTGTGATTATAAACAACATTGCCTTAAGCATTCTTGTGGCTATTAGATGTGTATACCTATCATGAATTATTGCTTGAGGATAAATTCCTTCTATAGAATTGCTGTGTCAAAGTATATGCATTGTTAATTAGTATATGTATTTTTAACACTTTAGACAAGGATGATGCATCTTTTTGATAATGATGGAAAAGCAATGTTTTCCTTTTGAATTTCACTGTATTCATGGGGTGGGGGAAAATGTTTTGAAACTACAAGGATGAAAGTTTTCCTAGGAACTATTTTCCCAAGTTTGTGCTCTGAAAAGTACCAATATTACTGTACTATCAAAAAGAAGACCAGAGGAGACCCAGCCGTGGCCATGTGGGAGCCTACAGCATGTAGATGCCTGGTGCACAGCAACCTACAAAACCAGAAGCCTACAGACTTCGGTGTCTGGTGCACAGCAAAGTCCACTCACCTTGAAGCCATCAAAAGCAAAGGCACGTTCATCTGAGCCAAGTTCCTGATCAGGTTGACAGCCTGGTCTGCTCCAACCAACTCTCATGTCTCCAGCAGTGACAGCCTCGAATTCGAAATACCATCTTCCTGCCTTCACAGCATAGGTTTTCTCAGCTCGGAAGATTCGGAACCTTTCTCCTGTGCCGCTACACATGTCAGCTCTGGCCGCTGTGAATTTAGAGAGATTTTGGTGATCACTGGATGGGAAATTGAAAGAAGAGTGACGATATCACATAGTTTCAGTAATTAAATCTATAGTGATGATAATGATACATTCTATTCTTATCTTGGTTCACACTTTACAAACTGTTTTCACATATATGATCCGCTACTGTCAGACGAAACCAGCATGGTGAAGTGGAAAGCACAAGGGCTTTCATTGCAGAGGCTGGTTGTTAAGCCTCAGTAATACTGTGATGGTAGGGGAGGCTTCCTCCTTTAGCCCCTTTTCAGGAGGGAACTGTCTTTCTGTAGAAAAAACCCAGCAGTGAAAGTGAGATGAACCTGAGGACATGGATGGAAAAAAGACAATAGAAGAGATTTAAACTGCTCTGTTTAAGAATGGAATAGACATTTATGGGTGAGAGAGAAGAGGGAAGAAGCAGCCAGGAAGAAGGAGAGAGAAAAAGAGAGAGCAACAAGAGAAAGCTATAAATAGAAGAGAACAGCAACCATGGACAGATTTCTCAAACTGGATGGCTAAGGGCAACACTCTTCCACTATGCCACATCTTCACTGTAATGCGCCACACACACAAATGCTGTGTTTAAGAGGTCTGGGGAAAAAGTAAAAGGGTTAAGTCCAACAGCAGGATCAGTGTGGTGCAAAAGGGAAAAAAATCTGTAGGAAATGAGAGGCACAGGAGATTGAGAGTGTTGGGAGTGTAAAACCTCAGACCAGGGAACCTGGAGCCAGGACGACCACAAGAAGGGCCCCTGTGAAATCACAGGAGTGAGGACAGAGTCCACTGAACTGACATCTCAAAGGATATGGTCAGCTCAACTGCGATCTAAGTTAGATACAGAGGAGGAAACTTCAGTGACTTGACCAAAGTCACAGAGCTAACGGTGGCAGAATTTGGGAGCTGCGTAATGCTACAGTCTGCGTTCTTTCTACTCTGCATCCAGTAGCTGGTACAGAGGTAGCAGGTACTGGTTAAATATTAGTTCTCATCTGTTCTCCTTTCAACAGTTGGGAAAGACCTTACAAATAATAAGAGTTTAATAACAGTTAACCACTGATTTGATATGATCAAATAAGAAGTATAAAAATAATCTAGATAAGCTCTAAGGTTGCCAATAAACACACAGCTAGATTGTCTATATCAATTTAAGATTAGATTGAAGTAAGAAAAATGGACTGAGACATTTCTGCTGATTGTAGGGCACACAGCTGAACTGTACCTGCTGACAAATCTGTCAAAAGCTGGGGTAAGTTTCCAGATAAGCAACACTGTTTTTCCACCTGTTCCTCACATTTACACACACGTACACACCTAACAACCTAGTCTGCTCCAAGCAACTCTCAAGTTTCCAGAAGTGATGGCCATAAATTCAAAATGCCACCTTCCGTGTGTGTGCTCACGTGTGTACACATACACACACACACACACACACATCATGCAATACATTCAAATATCTTACTGAAAAATTAATGCATAACACAATTTAAAAATAAAACATTTATTATACTATGTGGAGCATATAGCATGTACAAAATTCTCTGATGAGAAAAAGTTTGCTTTTGATACATTCAAGTTAGGGGCAGAAAGGGGCCTGAAGCAGAGAGAAAAACAACCCTATGGCAAAGGGCAAAAAATCCTCATGTATTTACCTAGGGCTGAATGATTTTTGAAAGATAGGATAGTAAAATATTTTTTGAGGAAAAAATTATTATCAGATTTTATGATACTTAAAGATGTCACTGTTATTAAGAAGAGAGTTCTAAATGTTGCAATACTGAAAAAATAGGAAAAGTCAAATTTTCAGAGTATTTCCTCAAGAAACAGCATAGTGATCCATTGCTTCCTTAAATCATGATTGTAATCTTCCCTAAAACTAATCTAAGAGATATAGAATAGGAGCTATGAATTACACAAATATTTGGAGATTACTTTTCAGGAAAGAAAAAAGCTCTCATTTAGTTATCCTTACTTTTAATTATGTGGACATTTGCAAATAAAATCACTCATTATATTCTAGTCTGCACTAAGAGATTCAACTCCCCAATTTCTAAGTATGGAACAGTTTTTTAGAATACTAAACTACTGAAAAACTCACAGGTCATTTTTCCTTTTTCTGTTTCCAGGACATCAGATTCCATTAACATGCAGAGTGTGCTCAAGGATTGCAAACAAATTTAATATTGGCTTAAATTAAATATGCTGGGAGGCAAATTTGGTATAAAAATATAATAGATAATTTCCTTAAAAGTCCATTACAAATTTCTCTTGGTATTAAGATTTACCACTAACCCTATCCAATAACATAGGTAATAAAAATAAAGAGGGACTATACAAAAAACGAGTGGCAATAAAAGGTAACAGTGCAGAATGTCTTAGTCCTGGTATTTTTTTTTTCCTTACCTGAAGCTGCTGCACTATTCTTACACTCATTGATGAGACTCAACCTGAACTTGAAATGGACATGCTATTCATAGACACCACCATGCAAGGGATTTGTAACCTCCATGGCTCTTCCTCCAAACATCTACATGGTTCATAGCTCACATTCTATACTTCTTATATTGGTTTAGGGAGTTTGCAACCATGGTTTAAAGAAGCAACAGTTCAGCATTCTGTTCTCTGATAAAATACTAACATTAAATGAAAATCTGGATCCATAAAGTTTAAAAAAAGACCCAGGGAATCGGTAACAAATTTCTGTTGCATACCCTGTAGCATCTGGCAGCTGAACACTAAGTAGGTGCTCTATAAATACTGGCTGAACTGAATCCAGGAACAAAGACTCTCCAGAGCCCTGGACGCAGGAGCCCAGGCATATAGCGAATTGGCAGCACCACTGTCAAAGGCACAGAGCTCTCCCCCAAACATGCAATTCTTATGCTTTGCTTGATTTTAAACACTCAACAATCATATATGTTTGGTAGGCAAAGCCAGCTCATGTAAATATGGCATATAAATGATTATTTTATGTTGTTATAATGAATATAGTAATAATTGATATTAAAAAATGAACAGTGAGCAGACATATTCCTTATATACTTTATCAGGGCTGCTGGTATTCAAAGAACAAATTCAGGAATTATGCCTTTAACAAACAACCTCAGTTAAAGCAAGGTCTGATACAATATCATGTTCCCAGTACCTTGCAGATCCTGTCACAGAGAGGGCACACACCAATGACTGATCAGATGGGGCCTAAAATATCTATACACACAGCACTCCAAACCATACGTTGAAAAGACACCACTAGAGGCCAGTCAAGATCTAATTATGAATTAAAGTTATGTTACATACAAGAAGCCATAAAGGAAGGCAGGCAGTCTCTAAAATTTTACACATATCTAGAATCCTTTAGGTATATTTATATAATAATTTTTTAAAAATTATTGATATTAACCAGTTATCCTTTTACTCTCCTGGTATTACTTCTACTTAAGCAATTCAAACCTTGATAAAACCTTATAATGAATAAGAATAAATTACTTTTTCCAATGTTGTAAATAATATTTAGAACAATACTCCAAAGATAGTATAATTCAAATACTGAATTCATATTCAATTGGAATTGTAAGCATTCTGCCGACTAACAGAAAATAAATTATAACCCTGATTAATTACAATGGGTTAGATTTAATTGTATCAAAATTTCTACACCCTTACCTTATTTTAATGTCAGCAAGAGGAGTATAGCCAATTATAAATTAATGTTTTTAATCTTATCTTAGTGATTACCAGAGTTATTTTGCTTTATTCCATAAAATCTCTCACCTCTATCTTTTAATTTCCATTTTCATCATCCCTGTTCTGAAAATCACAATTTTTCCCAAGCCTCCCAACCCATCTCTCCATCTCCAAGCGTCTCCCCCTGCAATCTGTTCTTCCCGAATGTTGCTATAGCTATATCGCTGTTGTAAACTGTGATCACACAGCAAGCTTTTGCTTTAAAACTTCCCAGGGCTGGAACTCTTTGCAGAAATTTATCCACATTTCTTAGCTGGGTTTTCAAGATATTCCATATTTTGTCCTAATTCTTCTATTTTCATCCATTACTGTTCTCCCCCAACTTGTACCCTATAATTTAGCCTAACTAGACTGTCAATCTTCCCTCAACTCTTTCTATACTTCATTACATCAGATACACCCTCCTCTGGCCTTTCTCACACTAATCTCTACTTGCTGACATTTTGATCCCTTCAACATCTAACTCAGATGCCTTTTTTGCCCCTTATTGATTCCTCCAATTGGAAAATTAATCTTTCTTAGTTTTTTCCAGAAAGATCAATTGAATCCCTACCAAAGGTATGCATGCTGTTGCATTCTAGGACACACAGGTGAATCAGAAACAGGATCTGGGCTTCCATTCTGGAATGTACCACACCAGCCTCACTGTTTATTGCTCACATAACTTCTATAAGATTGAACCTTGTCAATCAACTTTCAATGGTTCTATCTCTAAATTCTGAAAATTCGGAAACCATGCTCTGGGAGATCAAGATTTGGCCACCTTGAAATATATCTCTTTACCTTGATTGTTTTCTCTAACGGACATTTGACCTCCCCCACTAACTGCCTAAAGAATTTGACATAGAAGATCTGTTCCAAGAAGGAGTTACTATCTGATGGCTGTAATATAATGCAAAATAGATGTTACAATAGGAAAGGCACCAACAAGTCCATCTTATCAAAAATTCTTTCTCTGGCCACATTCTCTAGATGGCCCTGCAAGGAGTTGCCAGATAAACATTTACATTTATAAGGGAAATCTCCATTTGTAAAGGTATCTCCCTCTCTGTATTGGGAAGAGGGGGGATGACCTCATTTCTAGAAACTTATCAATGTGGAAGGTGAGGCCTTAAATCTGCCTAATAACCTTACTCTTGTTTACTGTGCTTTAGTGGTAATCTCCTGTAACTGACTCCCCCCACCCCCAACATCCTCCTTTGTCGTTGGCTGAAGATGGTATTTAAGACGAGAATTTCTGCTA